CTTTGGAATTCACTGCCACAGAAGGCTGTGGAGGCCAGGTCATTGAGTACATTTAAGATAGATAGGTCCTTGATTATCAAGGGGAGCAAGGGTTACGGGGAGAAAGTGGGAGAATGGGGTTGAGGAACTTATCCGCCATGATTGAATGGCGGATCAGACTCAATGGGCTGAATGGCCTAATTTCTGCTCCTATGGTCTTGTGGTCAATACCATGTTGCTGTGTGCTTGTGAGTGTGCCTGTTCGCGTGTGCATATGTTGATGTACCTGTGTCTGTGTGTGTGTCTGTGTAAGTCTCTGTGTGTGTGTGAGTGTGCTTGTGTGTGTGTGTGTGTGAGTGTGTGTGTGTGTCTGTGTAAGTGAGAGTGTGTTTGTGTGTGTGTGTGTGTGCGCGTGTGTGTGTGTCTGTGTAAGTGAGAGTGTGTTTGTGTGTGTGTGTGTGTGCGCGTGTGTGTGTGTTTGTGTGTCTGTGTGTGTGTCTGTGTAAGTCTCTGTGTGTGTGAGAGTGTGTTTGTGTGTGTGTGTGTGTGGGACGGTGTGTGTGTCTGTGTGTGTGTGAGTGTGTTTGTGTGTCTGTGTGTGTGTGTGTGTGAGTGAGTGTATGTGCGTGTGAGTGTGTGTGTGTTTGTGTGTGTGTCTGTCTGTGTGTGTGTGTGTGTGTGAGTGAGTGTGATTGTGTGTGTGTTTGTGTGTGTGTCTGTGTGTGTGTCTGTGTGTGTGTGTCTGTGTGTGTGTGTGTGTGTGTGTCTGTCTGTGTGTGTGTCTGTCTGTGTGTGTGTGTGTCTGTGTGTGTGTGTGTGTGTGTGTGTGTGTGTGTGTGTGTGCTGCATGCAAATTACCTGTTATGTCTTCTACATTACCATGTGAATAGTCAGCCCACAACTGGACCACTGTGAATAGTTTATGGTCACCCTTATCAAAGGAGATATTCCTGCATTGGAGGGAGTCCAGACGAGGTTCACTCAGCTGATACCAGGTATGGAGGGACTGTCTTATGAGGAGAGATTGAGTAGGTTGGGCCTGTATTCATTGCAGTTCAGAAGATTGAGAGGTGACCTTATTGAAACAGACAAGACCCTTAGAGGGCTTGGCAAGGTAGATGTGGAGAGATTGCTTCCCCCTTGTGGGAGAGTCTAGGACCAGAGGAGCATCATCTCAGAACAAGGGGTTACCCATTGACAACAGAGATGGGGCGGAAATTCTTCTCCCACAGGGGAGTGAATCTGTTTCAGGTTCTTTACCACAGAGGGGCTGTTGAGGCTGGGTCATTAAGTATACTCAAGGCTGAGAAAAGAGTTATTTTTAATCAGGAAGGGAATTGAGGGTCATGGGGGGGAAAAGGCAGGAATGTGGAGTTGACGATGATCGCATCCGATCTCGTTGTAATAGGGGATTGGACTCGATGGGCAGAACGGCCTCCTTCTGCTCATGTGTCTTAGGCTCAAATGGCTTAGCCTTTGGCTGTGAAACACTTTCGGACACCCTGAGGTGGTGCAGGTCGCCACATACACACAAAAACGCAACTTCCTCTTTGTTTCTCGCTCAGAAATGTTCCCCTTACGCAGCGCACCTGTACGACGCGGAAGATGCTAACACCCCTGTGCGGGTTTTGCCGGGGCTCTGCGGTGATTACTGCACCGAATTCTGGAAACGCTGCCGATCTACCCTCAGCCTCCTCACTGGGGACGTGCAGATGATGGAGCTGGAGTCAGATCGGGGGAAGTTCTGCGGTTACCTGGAGCTCCAGGACCCTGATTACTGCTACCCCAACGTCCTGTCCAGCGAACGGCTCCAGGCCAACCTGGGGACAGTGCAGGCTGATGCTGAGGGATGCCTCCAGCTGTGCCTAAAGGAGGTGGCCAACCAACTCCGGAACCCAGTGGCCATGCTCCACGCCAGCGATGGAACCCACCGCTTCTTCGTGGCTGAGCAAGTGGGCCTGGTCTGGGTCTATCTGGCCAACGGGTCGAAGGTCAACCGGCCCTTCCTCAACCTGACTGAGGCAGTCCTGACCTCGCCCTGGCTGGGGGACGAGAGGGGCTTCCTGGGCCTGGCTTTTCACCCCAGGTTCAAGCGGAACGGCAAAGTCTACGTCTACTACTCCATCTTCTCGAAAAAGGCCGAGAGAGTCCGCATCAGCGAGTTCAAACTGCTGCCCAGCAACATGAACGCACTGGATCACGCCTCAGAAAGGTCAGAGGGCAAGCGCTTAGGAGATGGTCCGCACACGGGGTCGTAAGCCCGGAGGGTAATGGACACACAGCCTCCTGCCCAAAGAAACAATTCCCACCACCCAACTGTCCCATTATCTTCCTAACGTAGGCCCTGCCACACACTGACTCTCACTGGGGTACGAGGTCCCAAACACACTGACTCTCACTGGGGTACGAGGTCCCAAACACACTGACTCTCACTGGGGTACGGGTCCCACACACACACTGACTCTCACTGGGATACGGGTCCCACACACACACTGACTCTCACTGGGGTAAAATCCCAAACACACTGACTCTCACTGGGGTATAGTCCCACACACACACTGACTCTCACTGGGGTACAGGGTCCCACACATACACTGACTCTCACTGGGGTAAAGTCCCAAACACACTGACTCTCACTGGGGTACAGTCCCACACACACACTGACTCTCACTGGGGTACAG